CTCTACTACTATGGGATTTGAATTGACAATTATATCTCTGTGCTAATGTGGTATGGCAACATGTACTGGCGTACGTACGAAGTTCTACGTTGTGATTCCTTAAGCAACATTTTGCATTTCGTGGAGCGTGCTTGCGTTGTGGCTTAGGATGTTCAGAAAACAGCATTTTTTATGTGTCTTCACCGAATAGAACTACGTCATGGGGATATCTTAGGTCGACAAGTGAATCGTCTGGTAAAAGTTCAACTTCCGAAGAGTCGGATGAGGAGTGTTCTAACTAAAAGCACATCAATGACAAAGTTAGATGCGAATGGAGAACGTGGACAACCTTGACGAATACCACTCGATGTAAAAAAATTCTGATGACAGTCTACCATGAGTTCTTATTCGACCAGCCGCTTTAAGGTCCGTGAAGACAACTATTGTCGGACGCCGATATGTGTCTGCATTCTAGAACCTTACGAAGAGTGACCATGTGGTCTATACAATCACGTCTGAAACCAGCCTGGTTTTCTTGGGTCTGCTCTTCACAAGCTCTAGTTAGTCGTCGAAGTGTTGTCGAGGCTTTAAATTGAATTGATTCCTGTAGTGTTCCGTCCATCGGTCCAATATCCTAGGTTGAAAATGAATGATACAACCACTCTTTTCTGAGATAGTATCGCTAACAGATGGATTGGTTTCCTTGATAAATAGTGACTGTTGTATACTGTTACCTATCGCCGCTGCCTTTCCCATCTCTCCCGTTTTTGCTACCCACCATTGTTCGGGACAATCACATATGCTTTTTATCAGCCTACGCTTGAGCTGACTTCGCTTTTCGTCATGTTTAGAGACAGGTGCGATGAGTTTTCGAACATCTATCAGTTCTGTGCATGCAACTGAGATCTATTGCTTCTTTCTAACCTTATGGTTTACTTTACGAGCATATATCATTGTTGTTTCCACATCCTCCTGTATATCATTTCAATCTGCCTCGGGATTGTAATCACTGACATGGCCGTTGAACTGTTTTTCTAGTTGCTCCTGCAATATATATCTTTAGCTAAGCTATCATTAAATAGAACCGTAATATGTTTTCTTGCGGTCCCTTTCCTACGTCCAGATCATGATTTGAATCTAAACATGTGCTACAGAACGTGAGACTGTCGATTTTGAACCCCCACAATGGTGGCTGGTAGTGATGTGATCTAGTTCGGTCCAGCGTTGTGTCGATTTCGAGGGTTGCCAGGTCAAAAGATGTTTTCCCTTGTGCTTTAACCTAATGTTTGGTATATATACGCGGTTATGTGAGCATAGCTACTGCAGACGGTCGCGATTATCTGTTCTCTCAGCTGCGACACCGTAAGATCCACCCACGTGTCTTTACTTTTCGCCTAGTCCACCTACTTGAGCATTGAAGTTATCAGCCATTATTACTATATCAGAGCGCCCAACATTTTGAAGAAATTTAGAGCGGTTTCTGCAAAACTCATCTTTCATATCGTCCGAGTTGCAGTCAATGGGAACGTAGGCAAGTACGACGCAGAGGCGACGGCGAGTGTTCTTAACTTTGCGAGTCCTTACTGTCCCATTTAGTCGGACGGCGCGCAAACGACTATGTACTGGGATCCAGTCTAAGAGAGCTAGTTCTGCTCTAGGACTCAATGCTATACCTACACCGGCGAGGCCACGGGAAGCGGCAGTGCGGCTTCCAGATACACGGAGCGTAAACCGAGTTGGTTCTTTATTTAGGTAAGGTGAAGTCAATTTTTATCACTGTACTCGGTTCGAATATGCACGTTTCAGAGACGCAGGATACATTGATGGCGCGAGATTCTAAGGTCGTAGCTAAGGAAGCTATTTGTCTCAGAAAATGACGGGACTATTATTAATTCTCAAGCCAGGAGACTGGATCGATGGACAGAACACTTTAGGGACCAGTTCAACTGGCCTCGAGCCACTCTTCGGTTACCCACGATCTCCAGTCATCCTGAATGGCGAATCGACCTAAGTCCGCCTAGTCTTAATGAAGTTGAAAAAGCGTTAGGAAATCTGAAGCGAGGGCGAGCTGCAGGTCCTGATAGACTGACCCCTGAGATATTTAAGGATGGTGGTCCATTTTTAGCAACTAGGTTGGCCGAGATCTTAGGTAGAATCTGGGAACTGGACGTAATCCCATCCGACTGGTCTCAATCACTGATTGTCCCAATCTATAAGAAAGGACAAAAGTCTTCTTGTGACAATCACAGGGGAATCAGTCTAACTAATATAGTATCTAAAATACTGGCCTCAATAATACTTCGACGCTTAACGAAAGCTCGTGAAGAGCAGACTAGAGAAAACCAATCTGGTTTTCGACCTGGACGTGGTTGTATAGACCACATTTTCACACTACGACAGGTCCTGGAACACAGACACACATTTAGGCGTCCTACAATAGTTGTTTTCCTGGACCTTAAGGCGGCATTTGACTCTGTGGATCGTGAGGTTCTGTGGCAGTGTCTGTCATTGAAAGGTGTACCAAATAAGTACATTAACCTCATACAAGCTCTCTGCTCAAACACCACTGGTCGAGTGAGAGCTTATGGCGAACTGTCACAGGAATTCCTTACTTCAAGTGGTGTCCGTCAGGGATGTCCACTTTCTCCATTCTTGTTTAATTTTATCATAGACATGCTCCTAGATATAACCCTATCCTCGTCCGAATTTTCAGAAGTAGACCTTCTACCAGGAAACTCACTTATCTACTTAGAATATGCCGATGACATAGTCCTACTTGGTGAAGACGCTGACAAAATGCAGAGTCTTCTGACTCCCCTAAGAAACAATGCAAACATGTTCGGGATGCGGTTTTCCCCCTCGAAATGCAAAATGTTGCTTCAAGACTGGGTTGCATCGGCATGTGAACTAGTGATAGGGAGTGAAGTAGTTGAGCGTGTAGACCGCTTCACTTATCTTGGGAGTCTCATCAGTGCCGATGGCCTGGTGACTGACGAAATCTCAGTACGGATACAGAAATCTCGATTGGCTTTTGCCAACCTGCGTCACTTATGGCGTAGGCGAGATATCCGTTTGCTGACTAAAGGACGAGTGTACTGTGCAGTAGTTCGCTCCGTCTTACTTTATGGCTGTGAAACATGGCCAGTGAGAGTAGAGGAGATTCGTAGGTTACTAATTTTCGATCATAGGTGTCTTCGAAGTATTGCTCGTATATCGTGGGACACCCGAGTTAGCAACGCTGTTATTAGGAATCGGGTGCTAGGTAAGAATGGCAGATCAATAGATGAAGTGCTGAAACTTCATCAGTTGAGGTGGTTGGGACATGTGTTGCGTATGCCCAACCACCGACTGCCTCGTCGAGCTTTGTTCTGTAGTGAAGAATAGGTTGGAAGAAAGTTCGGGGCGGCCAAACCAAAACATGGCAGAAATCCATGAAGTCATTGACGAATGGACTTAGCCATGTCGGTAATTGTCGACTACCGGGTTGGGGTCCGCGAGATGATAATAAGCGATGGTTAGAGACCTTGAATGACATGGCTCAAAATCGTTCGCAATGGCGCCGGTGCATTTATTCTTTGTGTTCTCTTAAATCCTAATCTTATGGATTCTTTAACACCTCTAGTTTTGACTTTCTAAACTTTTCTCACTGAACCATACTTCTTGAATAATATCTTCTAATCCTAACCTCTCCGATTACTCCTAATACCTTTACTACCTCTACTACTATTGGATTTGAATTGACAATTACATCTCTGTGCTGATGTGGTATGGCGACATGAACTGATGTACTTACGTACGAAGTTCTACGTTGCAACTGACTGACTGACTGACTGGAGGAAGCTATTTGTCCTATTTGGCACAAAGTCTGGACATTAAAAGCTCTAACATAGTTTTGAGCGGGGTTTCAGGAGACCAGGAATAACATTTCATGTATTTGAATCGTTGGCATTAGCGGAGCAAGGTGATAAAAGAACGTGACAAGTTTCACTGACAACTGGACTGTGTCATGTTGGTAGATGTAAACTACCTGGTTGGAGCCCGCGAGATGATAATAATCGATGGTTAGATATCCTGAATGACCGTTTGCAATGGCGCACGTGCATTCATTCTTTGTGTTCGCTCGAATTCGCTACAGGTGGAGTTTGAACATATCTCATAGTCCATGTGCATATGTTTACATAATCTGTTAAGGCAGAATAAATGAAAACTGAGTTAGATTTCTGCGTTAATACGATTTACAGGTATTTTATCGTCCGAAGTATATTATCTAGCATTTTGTGAAGTAGTTTCGAGTACGTATCTCATTTATTGGACAATTGCCTTGATATATTATATCTCTTGACCAAAAAAACATTTGGATATATGCTTGTTTGTTAGTTGTGAACGCAGGAGTTTCACACGTGATATAGTCAGCACCTGAGGTACTGTGCATAAACCACCACTTTGAATTTGTTTACGGCACTAAATTTCAGTGGACCACTATCGTTGAGTAGCATACAAACTACGAGTCTTTCTATTTCGTGAATGCAGTTCGTCTAGTTACGCTGTCAATTTTATGTTCCCATTAAGAGGAATCTTACATATCAGTCGTAAATTTAGCTTTTATCTTTCTTATCAGCGATGCTCTGGAAAACGTATACCACACTTCTGAAGATGCATATTACCCATAAAGCAACAAATGGTATATTGTGAATTATAACTAGTTTTAAAAACTGATATATTGAAGACACCATTTCAAAAATCACTTTCTAGATATAGTTATGCGTTTTGTAATTCAAAGTAAGGGGTTACGTACTTAACTCCCTTCGGAATTATCATTTAACACCAATTTTGTCCAACGCACTTATGCACCTAAACTATTTGTCTTCTCTGTTTTGTAAATTCAATTCATTTCACACATTTCTGTTGATGATAGTCGTTTTCATTAGTTCGTAATACTTCTTCAAAATTTTTAAATGCTTAATATGGTTTAGAAAGAATATGATCGAAAGTGGAAGGCCAAAAGAGAGGCTATTAAAAGGATGGAAGCTATGGATTCGTCACGAAAAAAACTTAAAGAAGGTAAGTCATAAAGACCTGTCTTCCGATTTTGATTTGTATGAATACATTCATTTGGTTGCTTGCCGCTCATCTAAATTTTCCAGAGTAGATGTACCTTGAAGTGTGTACAAAGTAGTTGCTATACTGTTGCTTTGATAGTCATATAGCATGATAGATTTTTCAAAGCATAAATGAAGCAGTTGTGTGTAATTGAATATGTGAACAAGTATTCTTAGACAGATAATTAATTGGCATTCATTATTGTAACACCAAGTCTCTCTCTATCTTAACGTAATTTTTATTTATTCAAAATGTCCTTATGTAATCCGAATTAAGAGCTCGAAGCTAAAGAAGCGGCTGCTATGGCTATAAGAAAGAGGCAGTTTGAGACTGTAGCTAAACAACGGGCAGCTGACCAGATTCGCAGGGATTGGGAACGTCATACTGAGGAAATGAAATGGCAGGCTGAAAGGAAACGAAAGTTGGCGGATGGCGAAACTAATAATATGGAGTTCAAACCAACTAGATCCGATCAAGCCATAGTGAGAGTAAGTGTTGACCCATTTATTGATCGGTATTGATTGATTTTATCCTAATATTAAACCACTAGATTTCACCTTTATTCCTACGGATCTTCATCACATTAAATGTTTCAGTACGGATACTTCAAGATAATCTTTTTGCTCGGTTTGATTGCCGAATCCTGGTACTTGCAATTCAAAATTATGAGAATATGTAGCAGTCATGACTAAGTTTCTGTAGTCGGTACGTTATTACCAATGTCACTTTTTTTACCAAGTACAATTACTAAGCTCATGATAAAATAAGTTTATCAAACATAGGTTTTTTAAAGCATACCGTTTGAATACAATAGTTACGTGTGTGATAAGTATTTTAGTTATACCCTGTTTAAACAAACGGCAGAAAATTTTGGGTAGTCTCACTGTAAGTTGTGGTCGATAAAGGAGCCCATCATTGATAGTGTTAAACGCCCACCCTCACATTGACTCTGACCATGTATGACCATGCTTTGCTTACTCACCAAATATCATCTTTCATGTTTGTTGACGCATTTTTCCTATGCCTCAGTGACTGTGTGGAGAAAACTGGTGGGCGGCCTATGCTCCATTAGGGGTAACAAGCGTAAGCAAGTAAGTCAGTGACTGTGCTCAACGATTTAAATACATGAAATGTTATTCCTGGTCTCCTGAAACCCCGCTCAAAACTATGTTAGAGCTTTTAATGTCCAGACTTTGTGCCAAATAGGACAGTTTTCAGTCAGTCAGTTGCACGGTAGAACTTCATACGCACGTATATATATCAGTTTAAGCTGCCATACCACGTTGGCATAGAGATCGAATCTTCAATTTAAGTCCTACAGTAGTATAGGTAGTTGATATGTTCGTCACTTAGGATGCTTGATGCTATTACGAGTTTACCTTAGTCGATAAACGCGAACGATACTTTTACCAGCTTCCAGGAAGGCTACCTTGAATCCAACGGTAAAACAGAAGTCTTGGTAAGCGTAGAAAGTATATTCTACAAACACCCAGCAATCCAGTACAATCAAGCATACAACTCTCGTTTATTTATACAACATAACAACGTCCTTGAGACAGTTAAGAAAATAGCATACTAAAATACACAGTGCCAATCACAGCCATTGATTTTCCTGGTGGGAATTGAAATCTCAAGGTCATTTGATCAGCCCCTGCTGGCGAACGTGAAAACCGAAATACGGCATTATCAAGCGAATTTTGGGGATCTAACATCCCCAACACTCGTCCCCTTTTTTAATAGCGTGTTCTCCTGGGCTCGACTTGCATCTTGACTATTGTTCGCCGCTGTCTGAGGGGATACCTTCGGGAACGAAGAACAGCTTGCTGCTGAGTTTCTTCTCGTGGCGGGGCTCTCGGTAGGTTGAAGGTATCAAGCAAGATGTCAAGGGGAAGGCTTTCTGCTCTTGATGGGCGATCTGGGGCTAGCCGTCTGCGTATCTGATTGCGATGACGTGACCATTTATCACCTCCTACCTCTACTTCGTACATAACTCGACCAACCCTTCTGACCACTCTCGCTTCTACCCAAGGACCATGGTTCGTTCTGTAGTCGCGGGCAAACACAGGGCATCCTACTTCGTAAGCGGATTGTCTTTGCTGCTTTGTCTCTACTGATGAGGGTGCATTGTCGGATGCATCAGGCTGTGGATCGTTTTCAATCTTCTTCCCATCAGGATTTCAGCTGGGGACTTTTGCTCCGGTAACAATTCATTTGGTGTTGTCCGATAGACGTACAAGAAATTTTGTAACGTTTCGGCTGGCGTCCCCTCCCCTTTTGACTTGAGCAGTGCTCTTTTAAACGTATCCACAAACCTTTCCGCCTGCCCATTCGATTGCGGGTGGTATGGTGGCGAGCGTAAGTGTTTAATAGCTAGCCGTTGACAGAAATTCTGGAATTGGGAAGAGGTGAATTGAGAGCCATTGTCGGATACGATCACATCTGGTATGCCATTTCGTGAGAAAATTTCAGTTAGGAGCTGTATAGTCTTAGTTGTAGTGGGCGGCATAACGGGGCTGATTTCCGGCCATTTAGAAAAGGCGTCGACGACAATTAAATACATAGTTCCATTTATTGGGCCAGCGAAGTCGACATGTATCCTGGACCAAGGATGCTCAGGTTTGGGCCATGAAACCGGCGGAATTTTGGCATTCATCTTTGCCGCCTGCTGACACCGGATGCATTTTTCAACCAACGCTGTGACATGTTGATCCATGTGAGGCCAGTATGCATAACTCCTGGCTATGGACTTCATTCGTTTAATCCCAGGATGACCAAGATGGAACTGTCTCAGCACTTTTGCACGAAGGGATGCTGGAACCACTACTCTTTCACCAAACATGAGACAATCGTTCACGATGCATAGTGAATTCCGCCGCTGATACAGTTGCTTGATGTCACCTTCAAACTTTTTCGACGGCCAACCGTTAGTGACATATTTCATCGTCATCTTGATGATGGGGTCGTTTCTAGAAGCATTTTGTATGTCTGTTGCAGACACCGGTAATGCGCGAACTGCGGTTGTCAGATCACATTCTGCGTGGTCTTCTACTGACAGAGATGCGATCACCATGTTTTCCTCAGCCGCCACTTGATCATTAATGAGTCGTGACAAAGCGTCTGCTTGACCGAATTGTAGAGTGCGTCGATATTGGATTTCGAAATCATACCCCAAAAGTACCAAGGCCCATCGCTGGAGACGATTTGCAGAATAGGCTGGAATGCCAGACTTTGAACCAAATATTGCTAACAGAGGCTTGTGATCTGTGAGGAGCGTGAATCTCCGACCGTACAGAAACTTATGGAAACGGCGAACAGCAAACACAAGGGCAAGAGCTTCTTTCTCTATCTGGCTATACTTCTTTTCTGCTGGGGTCAGTGTACGGGATGCATGCATAACGGCTTTTTCTGACGCGTCTGGAAACTGATGTGAAATAACAGCACCTAGGCCATATGCTGAAGCGTCTGCTGCTACGATGATCGGCATGGATGGATCGTAGTGTGTTAATAACAATTCCGAGCTAATTATAGACTTGAGTTTACCAAAAGCCGCGTCACACTCTTTAGTCCAGTTCCATGTGCTATGCTTCTGCAGTAGACAATTCAATGGAGCGCGAATATCATGCATCGAGGGAACAAAAGCTGAATAATAACTGATCAAACCGAGAAAAGATCGTAATTCGGAAACATTAGTGGGAGTAGGCATCAGTTTGATAGCTCGGATGTTTTCAGGATCCGGTCTGCGACCGTCGGCATCAAAGATAAATCCCAAATACTTTACCGACTGCAATAGAAACTGGCATTTTTCTGGGCGTAACCGGAAACCATTGTCACTGATGCGTTGTAGTACCAATGTCGTGCGTTCCCGTAGCTGTTCTAACGTCTTCGCAACAATCAAGATATCATCGAGATAAGCTGCAACCCCTGGGATATCTGACAGGATTGTATCCATTAGTTGTTGGAAGATAGACGGCGCAGTCTTAACTCCAAAAGGTAGACGGTTATACTGAAACAAACCGCGATGAGTGTTGATAGTAAGCAGCTCTTTAGATGCTTCATCGACTTCCACTTGCAAATAAGCATCAGCTAGGTCAAGCTTTGCGAAGAACTTTCCTCCATTCAGCATAGTGAACAGATCTGCTGGAACTGGCAGAGGATAATGATGCTGTTCTAGAGCTGCGTTGAGACCTGTAGAGAAGTCAGCACATATACGTATCGTTCCGTTGGCCTTCTTGATAACGACTATAGGTGCTGCCCAACTGGAGTAAGAAACGGGAGTAATAACTCCTTGTCGTTGAAGGCGATCCAGCTCTTCATCTACTGTTGCTAATGTAGCATACGGTACAGGTCTCTTTGGACGAAAAGCAGGCTTAGCCCCATGTTTCAACCGAAGTGTTGCTTTCATAGCAGTGCACCGACCTAATCCAGGTTCAAAAATGGTTGAAAACTCTGTCATCAGCTTCTTCGTATACGCTTCTGGGTCATGTCGTTGTGATACCAGGTTGCATATGGTATTTAGCGGGACATCAGCCAATTTTAGCTGGTCGAACCAATCTAAACCAAGTAAATTTAGATCAGCTGGCGTTATATAGCATACCCCAGTAAACGACGAATCCCGGAAAGCAACTTTACATTCCAATTGTCCTAACAGACGAAGATAATTACCACATGCTGTGCGAGGCTTTTGTGTTGTGTGCTGCAGGCTTGGGCTGCCCAACTTGGTCCAATTTTTGCGTGAGAGGATAGTGACATCAGATGCAGTATCTATTTGCATTCTACACAAATAACCGTTAATATTAAGAGTAATAAATTTCCTCTCACCTGGTGATGAGCTTTGGCAGGAAGATATTAGGCTCAATGCATTGGTACTGGATCTAGGAACAGGCTTCTTAGCACTTCTGGATCGCTTTGGCTTTTTCTGTAGGCAAAAGCCATCTTTATGACCGATGACTTTACACTTCCTGCATCTATGCTGCCTAAATGGGCAGTTCCGTACATAGTGCCATGAACCGCAGTGCCAGCAAGCAGAAGGTGGATTCATTTTGGGTTTTTGGGCCGAATTGGAGCGGGGTGAACTGGGTGTAGCATGGGCAGACTTATAATGATTAGGTGGCTGCTGTACCAAATGAATTTCAGATCGGCTTGAACTACCACTCTGAACTATAGTCGAGTCTCGTTGTAGGTCAGTGAGACGTTGGTACTCATGAGCCATATCATTAAGCGTAAGCTTTGGATCTTGCTCCAACCGACTTAGTAGCCTTGTTCTAATGTCACTGAACTTACTCGACTGGAGGCTGCAGATGAGAATGAGGGCTTTGAACTGGTCTTCCGACAAAGACTTCAACCGAAAGCGTTCGCATTCACGGTTGACGATGCCCACGTGCGTAAGAAAATCATCATCTTCGTTCATAATAAGCTTCAAACATCGATAACGAGTATTAAATAGTGACGAGTTGTCTCCAAAGTGTTGGCTTAAAGTCTGAACAGTCTC